CATGAGCTGGAGAGAACACGGCTGGAAGAATATTATTAGATACTTCAAGACACCATATCAAGAGAGATAATAAGGTGCTCATATGCCATGCTGGAGACAATGTGGCTCGACTGTTGCTAATCATTTCCATGTCTTTTGGGACTGTCCCAGGTTAAAAGATTTCTGGATGGGTGTCCAGCAGGCCTGGACTGGCCATCGGGCATACCGGGCATTTGCCCGGTGGGCCGCTCGTGATTTTTCGTTTTTATAGGCCGATGGGGTTTTATTTCTAATTTTTTAACGATATAAATGAATGGTGGTGGATTGGCCAGTTGGTCATGATCGACTCTGGGTTTGACCAGTTACAGCAGAGGAGGTCGAACTTTAAAGTTGAGGTGAAAAGGAACACGATTTCATAACTACTTCAGCTAGAAAACTGCTAATTCAATTCAATGATCAATGATCAGCTGATCGGCTTTTCTCTCCAGAAAGAGGGAACCAGCAGATGATGTTCGTTGGAGCCACAGCTGTAAAGCTGCTGGTCATGATATCGGTTTGGATATGTGGTAAGAGGGAAACATGAAGATGAAACCAGGAGATGTCCTTACTGAATCATCAGAGCTGAACAGGTGATGGAGAAACAGGTTTACCTTTTAGGTGACATGAATGAGTTGAAGGGAAGAAATGAACTGTTTCTGAGAGACAAATAACACCAGGATCCATACTTTTCTTTCTTATTCTCATTTAAAATGTCTAGCTTTTAATAAATAGTTATCTGAATCTTACAACCAAAGTTTTCATCTGATGTAAAATGTATAGAAATGGATTATTGTATTCAGTAAATATTAATTCTAGTATATACCCTAGTAAGTTATAGTATTCTTTCCTTTGGGAAGGTACCATCTGTGCAGTCTGCAATTCTGTTGAAGAAAGATGTTGAATCTATTTGATTATAGGAGAAAAATAATAGATTTCTGTGCATTTGTTTGATATGTGCATTAAATTAAAATCAGTTTTGTCAATTAAGCATCTTGAGGCAGAGTGTGGGGGAGTGGGTCCCTATTTTTTTTTTTTTTTTTTTTTTTGCTGGGAGTTGGCAACCCTATTAGTTAGGTATATGTAATTATAACTTAGGTTGTTTTATATTTTTGCTAAAGACCGTTTAGAATACCAGAATAGAGAGGGTGGTGTAGGTTTAAGTTTATTATAAAGGCTTTATAGCTTTTCCTATAATACCATGGTGGGCCAGTCACTAGTCAAAATGCCCGGGCTGATTTTTTGTCCCAGTCCAGCCCTGGTGTCCAGGCCTCCTTAAGCACAGTCTTTAGCGCTCAAATACCTCTAGATTTTAAGGTTCTATACATGGGTCTGGTCCCTTTTCTGGAACGTAGGAGTGAAATTAAGTTGGTGCAATTACTCTTGGTGGCAAGTAAGAAAACAGTTACAAGAAGATGTTAAGCCCAGTTCAGCCTACCCTGGATGACTGGTTTGGGATCACTTTAGAGATATTTAGAATGGAAAAACTGACATATCAGTTAAGAAATCAAATTGTTCCAAATTTGGAACAAGTGGATCGTATTCATTACCCCCACAAGAGCTGACTTTACTTGATCTTAGTGGTACTTGTACCTTTATAACCTACTTATCTAACTGTTGACCATTGTTAATTCATTTATTTTATTTACTTATTTTTCTACTTTTTTTTCTCCATGGCAGCAGAACGGGCAACCCCCCAATTAATGATTATAGTTCCATATAATTTGTTCTACCTTTATGTAATATGAATCCCCTCCTAGAGAACATATGAACCTTTTAGAACTTTATTTATCAGGCTATTCTCCTAGTAATATCCATTAGAGGATAATATGCACCTGTCGATCACTGTGTTTGTCATTTGCTTCTCCAGGATTAACTCCAAAAACCTGGAAGTACTGTTTTCATGTCATTCACATATTGCTATGTTAATAGATTTTTCTATCAACATAACACAGTTACACATAAAATATTTCTGTGTAACTGTGTCATCTAGTAACTGTTTGATAACAGGCTTTTGTATTAAATTGGTTCTCATCTCTCTCTAACTCTCTGAAATACCCTCAAGGAAGGTAGTGTGAGGATATAATGACAGAGGCGTGTAAAATCAGCCAAACAAACAAATATTTTACTCCCTCTTCATATAAGCACATCAAAAATAATGATTAAATAACAGCTACGGACACCACAGTGGTGTCATAGCTGCCATAGGAATT